GATTGGAGGGGTGTTGAGAACCCTGGTTGTTAGCATCACTATTACTTCAGACCTAAATTTGAGATAGGGCGTGGGAAGTACAAAGGGCACTGTTCTTCCTTCTGAATGCAAGCCTGTTGAAGTTTTGAAGCCCCAAGCTGGTCTTGGGAAGGAACCTGTTCAACAGCATACCAAAACTGGATGGAACTTTCACTATCTTGGCTTGGATGGAACAGTTGAAGATCCTAACAATCAGTTTGTAAGGAATCATACTTCAAGGGATGATATGTTCCCACCAGCAGAGAGGAAGGGCAAACTAGATATCTTCATGCTTCAGCAGCATGGGCTTGCAAAAGAGAGGATTGAAAATGGAGATGCTTTCTTGTTCTATCAGTTGCTCCTCCAAATTGCTCCAGATTCAAGGGATGCTCAGTAGTATGAAATTAAGTACAATAAGGTGATGAGATATACTAATGTGTATATCTCTGATGCCAATGAACAGGAAGGACATCACAGAAAGCCAGTTACACTTCCTGAAGCAGTTCAGTTTGACAGCATCCTTTTTTTGCATGGCCCTTGTGAAGGACCAAGCTCTAGCAATCACCACAGCTTATGATATCTACAGGGAGTGTACTGATAAAAGTCTCGGCGAGGAGTAGCTGGTGGCAAATGTTATGAGTCATTGAGAGTTCAGACAAAGGCTAGCCCTCCACATGATAAGATATTATCCTGTTGAGAGACAGTGCACCCAAGCACATCACAAGGTCCAGAGTGACAGGGCTTCTGGAAGGAAGGCATCAAGACTTTCCTTAGGAATGGCAAGCTTTAATAGGAATGGCAAGTTGATGGCATATCATAACTTGCAGACCATTGCAGAGGACCAGACAAATGGAAGATTTTGCTTCACAACCAAGTACAAATGGCATCTGATGACTATGGTTCCTCATACAAAATCCAGGAACAAAAATTTTTGCTACATTTGTTGAAGAGGAACTTATGTAATGTGTAGTATCTGCAAAGTCCCTCCCTTTCGTGGGAATGGTCCCTCTTAAAAAGGGATTGAAATGGTGAGGAGTTCATCCCCAAGTACTGTCACCAACTACCACAACTGTGAATGGTTTGGCCATGGAAGAGGCATTGCTCTTCAAAGGTGAGGAATGACAAGAGATCCAAAGATACTAGGAGTGACTGGAAGGATCCAAGCAATGACAAGTTGAGAGCTAGTAACTCTGAGTACATGAAATACATATTTGATATTGAAAAGGAGGAGGACACTGGTGGTGCTAGTACTACTACTAGAGACAACAGCAATGATGTTGTTTCACCAAGAAGGACTGATGCAACTGCCAACAGTGAACTTATTCAACCAACTGTTGATAGTTACACTACTACTAGCTACTACTGAGTTCAGCACAGTCAGTGGTGGTGGAGTGGTTGGACCAATGGAAGCAGTGTCAATTAATAGTACTTTAAATAAGGATAGTATAATGATTCAAGGGCTGGGTTGGTTCCTGCTGATGCAGCTCATTTGGTTTTTCCTCTAGATGTTGATTTGGTCGCTCCTTTAGCTGCTGTTTCAATTGCTGATTTAGTTGCTCCTTTAGCTGCTGGTTTGGTTGCTGATTCCGTTGCTGATTCCATTGCTGATTCAGTTGCCTATTTGGTTCCTTATTCTGTTGCTGATTTAGATGCTTACTTGTTTGCATATTCTCCTTTGTTTCCAGACCTGTTTCCTTCTAAGATGCATACAGAGCAATTGCATACTGTGCTTGCTTGTTATCTTCTCCATTAGAGCTACCATCAGATCCATAGAACTCCTCATACTCATTGCTGTAGTCGTCCAATTCCCAAAAGAAGCTTCTATCCATATTGTTGGGAATCCATGACCCATCATCAGCAAACTTTTTGGCACACTGAATGGAAGGAGTGTTGTTATTCTCCCTCTTCATTACAGACCTGCAGATCTCAAAGAACTAATCATGTTTGTCTGTGTCCTTCATCTTTGCAGGGAGCAGAGGCTTCCCCAACCCAGCAAGCTCAATCTCCTCCCAACTTTCTTTTTCAAGCAGATATTTTTAGACAACCGGCACAGGTGTCATTGAGTTCTTTGTTAAATGAAGTAGGCTTCATGTCCTGTTCCCAGTCTTCAATCCACTTCCAGTCTTGATTCATTATGAACTGCTGTACTTGAGGGGAAGGATTGTCAATTATTTCTGCTGGTGGATGCGGACCAGGAACTGGAGTGGGAGACGAAGACCTATCCATAACTATTTGAATCTTCCAACCAATCCCTGGATCAATGCCCTTGATCACGTTTGCAGCTTTCCTCACTTTTGCTGCTGGATGCCATTTCATCTCCACATTGCCCTGGTGTGCAATTGTGAGCTTCTGCTTTGGCAGCCATTGCTTGTGGATAGAGGCCTTGGGACCTTGTAAAAAAGAAGTTGTGTTTGGTGCCTTGCCTTCTTGATCTGTATTTATATTTGGGGTGTGTCTTCATGAGTCTGGAGAGCTTCTGGTGTATCAATGTCATTTATCTTTGTGTAGTTCTTTGACAAGGAAGTCTAATCTTTTAAGTTGCTTGTTAGTTTTCTCCGGTCCTCATTGCTAGTGTTGCGCCGTACTAGCCTTCATATTTGGATGGGGTTGCCTCCCTCACACCAGGATTTATTGTTCTTGATTAATTCAACAAGAAGAAGGAGATGTGATTGAAGCACCACTTTGTTACTAAAGAACAGAGAAATTCATCCACCACTGTTCTTTCTGGTCAACTAGGCATAAAACAACTGAATTGAGGGGGTTTTCTGCTACCAAATTTTGAGTGCACACAATTAGTAGCCTAACTTTAGTGAGCAGTTGGTCTGTCAATGTGTAGAGTGTTCATTGTGGGACTAAAGTGTGTTGAATCGAATGAGTCCTTACATGATACTAAAAAGATGGCCCATTATCCATGCACAGTATGGTTTGACTGTATAACTGCTGTTTGTTTAATCTTGAACTGACAGTTTCACCTCTATCTTCTTGGTTGTCAACTGTTCATTAACAAATGTAAAGAAGAAAACAGTTTGTGTTTGTGATAAAGAGAGGATTCTAGTCATATGGGAAAGTGGGGTTTTTCTTGTGATATTGATTGATAGTGTTTGTGTAATACTACTACTACTACTACTACTACTACTACTACTACTACTACTACTACTACTACTACTNACTACTACTACTACTACTACTACTACTACTACTACTACTACTACTACTACTACTACTACTACTACTACTACTACTACTACTACTACTACTACTATGCAGTATAGTACTAGTAGTAGTATGATGGAGCATTAAAAATCCAAGATACAGCAATCATGCTTGTTCTTTCAAACACCAACTCTATACCTAAAAATTTTTAATCTTAAAACTCTTAGAGCAATTTAAAATAGTATGGTATTGAATATGCATAGTATTGATTGCTGTCAATTGATAGGAATGTTGCTAGCATCTGGAGGGAATGAAGGGCATTTTCATTTTAATGACTTATAACCTGTATTTTTATTTTGAACCCAAGTTGTTCTAGCTTTAGGTTATGGTATTCGCACGGACATTACAAAAACGCTAGCACAAAACTGAAAACTCCTACCCGCATGTTTTGGTCATTATTACGTACGAGTACGGCTACTACAGGGGTAGATGAAAATCGTTCACCAGAAGCAAAACCTACAACCCTCTCGGACGGCCACAATCATTTTCAGAGTGAAGTGGAGTAAGAGAGGATAGCCTTCTGCTATACGCATGACCAGAACTCACAACATTATAGTGGACCTTGGTTGAAAATCACCCAAAAGGGCATTCTGTATTTCTATGGAAGACAAAAAGCAAGGCGTTGCACTAGTTCACGAAGACCACGACAATTTCTTTCGTTTATTTTATTCCCGCACTGGCTCGCAGGAAGCGAACTGAGACAAATCCAGGTGAAGGGGCAATCCAAACGATACGTTCAGACCGTAATTTTTGATAATGTCGAACATACGGCAACGGAGAGGGCCTTCTCCTTCGCGAGACAGTTTTCACGGACACTCGTCTACAACCTCGTGGGATTTCGGATCGGATGATGGTACGGACAATGTTCGCACTACAGGCAGGAAGGTGGTTCCCACCATGTACAATCCAACAACCATGCCGCAATCACTGTCTAAGCCGAACAACTCATTATCATCTACACAGTCTCCTATGTCTAATGCTTCTCATCGTGTGTCGTGGAGCACAATAATGGACGCCAAGAAGGCTAACTCGGACTTTCTTCGTGAGGGTTCACTGTCACCCTACCACGATCCACCTGGCTATGCTCGTAGTGCGATCATTGGAAGAAAGAGCGAATACGATATACTTCAAAGTGGGCGGAGGCTTTCGTCAATGGCTCCGGCACTAATTCCAGATTCAGCCTACCGGTCTCACTTATCAGGCCGGCCGGCAGTAAAACAAAAACCGTCTGGTATAGACAAGATCGTGGTGGCAAAGATTATTGGATATGTTGCGATCGTTGGATTCGCCTTTCTTACAATAGTTGGCATTCTTATTGATACGCAACCCATGTATTTACAGGGGATATTAGAGAAAAATCAAGAAGTTTCATCGAACGGGGCAAAAGTAAAAACCTTTTATGCCGTTAGCATAAACGATCGTCTGGAACCCGCAAAACACGCATATCGAGCCGGTTTGCTTTATTTGATGACAGCGATAATTTGCTTCGGATACGCTCAAAATGTGCATCACCATTTATTCAAAAAGGGATGGCAGCAATATCGTGACATCGACGATGGAGATTCGACTGTTCCTACCTTTGGAGGCATTGACGGCTACTTGCCAACCAGTAAAGCTGTACACCGGAAGGCTTACGAAGAGCGATATGGATTCATTGTACGAACTTGGCACTCAACATTCGTCACATTTCAGCGGTTAGGAATATATTTGACATCGATATGGCAAGATCGACGTCGAAATCGCAGACGATTCTCCGGCGCAAAAGATGTGTAGTCCAGTCTATTCTATTCGAGTAGTCTAAATCTCTCCTAGCAGCAACGGCTGACACTACTATATCAGACTATGAATTTTGGTTACAACGATTACCATGACAGTATTTTTTGACACTCTTGTGAGATGGATGAGTGAGCTGATCGAAATCAGCTGTTCTTCGATTTTCCAATAGGTTGTACGTGAAGCTATTGAATGCAAGAGCTAACTAGGACCCAACGAAAGCCCCTATGGACCATTCGCTATCACGCAGAACAGATCCATCGGAGAATACCTGTCTTCTATCGGCATCCGGTCGGTCTTGTTCTTGTATCCCTAGGGATTTTCCATCTTCGGGGGGATATGTGTAAGTGCCTCTTCCTGAAAATACGACAATAATTCATGGAAAATAATGCGGAAGGGTGCAAAACAAATTGGAGTGAGAACTAAATTTCAAAATAGCAACGACACAATCTTCGTTTTGCACGAAGATGCAATCAACTTGGAAGAACCCACCATTTTCCTTGTCTAGATAATATTGACCGATATAGCGATCGCCATGTTCCCATGTCTCTATGCCTGTTCCGTGTCTTAGTCCGTTGGTCCAATCCCCTGTATATACTTTATTGTCTTCCGATACAAAAACTCCTCTTCCCTGAAATTTATCATTCAACCACGGCCCAGAGTAAAGTGCACCATCAATAGAGGTGTAGACACCGATACCAGTTCTAAGTCCACGTTTCCATTCACCTATATAGATGCCTCCATCGTCTATACGGAGAGTCCCGTTTCCACAAGGATTGCCTTCCAGATCTAGCCATCCGGTGTATAGTCCTCCTAAGCTGGTTTCGTGATTTGTCCATTCCCACTCGATTACAAATTTCTTTTCGAGTCTCTTTCTTTGTTCAGAGGTGAAGTCTGAAGGAATCATAATCACTCCCGGATGACTGGATAGTAGAGTATTTGTTGTAGCTGACTCGCTAGTATCGATTGGTTCGTGATCTAAACTGATCGTATCCATTTCTTCCTGTGTCTCCTCTTCGGTATTTTGTTGCTGCATTTCTTGTTCTTGTTGCTGAGCCTTTAGCTTGTACTCCAATTCAAGTATGTATTCTGCCTGTTCTTTCGTTCGACTTTGACTTTCCTCCAGCTCTTTCACCAATTGTTGGTTCTTCGACTGAGTTTGTTCCAACAAAATCTTATTTCGTGGCACCAGCAACTTCCAATTTTCAATTTCCTGATTTTGATCTCGGATCCGTGACTCCAAATTTTCTTTCTCTTTTCGCCATTCTTTCTGAAGAGCTTCAGACATCTCGGCATTTCCTTCCAAAGCAGAAAAAGAAATCGACAACGTCTCGGAGACGTCTTGGTTAGAGCGGTTCGCATCTTTGAGTAATTTGTTTTCCAGTTCAAATTTGTCGACAAGGAGATTGAGACGCTGTATCTCCTCATCGGCTGACGAATCGCTCTTCACGAATTCGAGTATACCGTTTTCCCATCGTTCTTTTTCTTTCGCATGAGTCTCTGTCGAAACGACAAGCTCGTCTTTTGTTGCCTTCAAATCTCTTTCCAAATTGAGTATTTTGAGATTGAGTTGTCTGGAGGACTCGATGACTGCCACTTCAGCAGCGGCTAGATTCTTGGTTTGTTCTTTGTCGCGCTGCTCCCATTGTTCTTCTTTTTCACGATAACTTTGTATTTGGCTCCGGAGGGTTTCTACGTCTCGCCCAAGTTCAACTTGTCGTGTCGTGTCTCGCTCCGCAGTGCCGGCAGCAGCGTTTGCTAACCCCTGGCTCCACATGGAGTTCCTCTTCGAAGCAAGTTTCGCGGTCTTTCTAAAATTTTTCTTGTCGGCCTCCAGCATTTCTCGGTCTAAAACGAGGCGCTCCTTTTGCAGGTTCAGCCGTTTCTGGGCAACCCGCAGCCGTTCTCGTTCGCGGGCAAGGCGTTCTTCCATATCGCTGCAACCATCTATCGAAGTCGACGATGAGGACTGCACGGACATGATTTCCATTGTTCAGAAAGTACTGCACTCAGTTTGTGAACAAGGACGGCACCTGCGATGTATTGCTCACTTTTTTCGGTCGACAAAAGTATGAATGTTAATGTTTCATTTAGTAGAAAACCAGAATTGATAGAACTTTTTTGAATCCTTCGCTTTTTTGAAAGCGCCCAGGAATTTACATGAAACCTACCAGACGGCTGAGGTCTATCGTTTCCATGCTTTTGTTCCGAATACTGCCGTGCGGTACGAGGTTCATCGTATTCAACCACTATGACCCCTGATGCTCGGCAGTAGAGATGATGTAGTCGTACGATAGCATTCGGAACACACATGAAACGGGATCGATGTGGAACGACATACTTTTAATATTACCGGTACCTGTACTTGTGGTACGTAGGGTACGAGTACGAATTCATTTTTCTATTAATTAAAAAGTAATGGCCTTTCACAAATTCGGAGGCTTATAATTAGTGGTAGCGTGTTATTATTGATTTGTGTCTCAGTCAACTTAACCTAACAATAGCCTTCCTGAGTAATAATAGATTTCTGGTACCGTAGGAAAGAGAGAATCGAAAAGCAACAGTAATGTACTTGTAATAGAGTACAAGAAAATAATATCCTTTCCTGTCATTACACTATTAGTGCTATTGGGGATTATCATCCTCGCTTTGTGATACAGTAATGCTCTCCAGAACATATCTACCATAATTATCCTAGTAGTCGTAGAACGACTCATGTTCGCGCGACGTCCAGCAACGTGCTGAGTACAACATAAATGCATACTGGTTTTTGGCAGTCAAAAAAAGTTCGCATTACATTGCTCACCGTACGTACGGTACGGTTTTATCGTACGTGCAGATCCAAGTACTGTAGGAAATGGCCAAAGGGAATTGGGGGTCTTTCTGTTCTGCAATTTGATGTTCGACAGTCAGAAAGCAGGTTCAACGTTACACTAACGAAGGGTAACAGAAACCATAACCATTAAACCAATCCCCTCTCCTCCGCCAGCTATTTTCAGGCCTGCGAAGTGATCTTCCTGATCCCGCTCTTTGTATCACCACATACATCCTGCACCCAAGCTCAGCTGAATGCATACCGTTCAATCGCAGCAAAAACATCAGATCTCCGAGAAAGGCAGCAAGATATCTATTTTTTTCACAAAACTCGATTCAGTTTGATTCTGTTCGACGCATTGGCTATCACGAGATAAATCTCGCATCTAGAAGCCAAGAATATTTTTAAAAATTTCCGCACGCCGCTTTCTCAACTATTTTGAAATTTCGATCAAAGATGAGCGATTCCAGCGATAGTGACAGCGAATGTGGTCCCAGCGACACGAGAGATCACTCTAGCCGAAGCACCAAACCACTGAGGAATCAATTCCGAAGAAGCATGGATCTCGATTTGCATAACGGTTCCAAGTACGAGATCACCAAAATAACAGAGTCTACGGAACCGTACGACTTTGATTCGGACGAAGATACTTTTGCAGACGCAGCATCTGACTGCGAGCCGAACCAACTTTATCTTGACGAAATGCTAGAAGACATTCACCCGGAGCGGCTGAATCTTTTCGATTACAGAAAGAGCTCGAAAAGCTCGAGATCTTTGACCAGGATAAAGAATGGCGATATGGATGGCAGCAACTCCTGTTTAGATGCATCTCTTCACGATTCGAAACAATTTGATTTCGACGATGACGGCGACAACGAAATAGTTGTAGGGAAAGTAATTTCGAATCGAGATGACGACATGGAAACCGAAACCAATCCATTAGACGAAGAAGATACTCTTGACTGTTTGCCGAAGACGATAAACAATGGAAAAGGACGGCGGGGTAGTGGACTAGATACTTTTGGTAGCCCGGATATCACAGGCCAAGGAAGAGCACTCTTACGGCAGCCTAGTCAGAAGACAGTGTGGGGGAAATGAAGTTAAATGTTGAGATAAGTTAGACTCGATAATCTTGTAGGACCTGATTGTTTAAAAACTTTGAACAAATTGTTCATGTTGCTCTAGCACGTGACGTGAATCGAACATGGTTCCTTACCATAAAAGGAACTCTAACGGTACTTGCGTAGCATGGAAAAGTTTTTGTGACTAAAGTACTCAACTAGGATTCTTATAGTACGAATATCACAGTGGATTTGATGTGATTTAATCTTTCTTTTGCAAAGGCCAAGCTAAGCTTCGTCCAAATCTTTGATTGCAGATTCTAGTTTATCCTGATTGGCTCCCGCAAATTGTTCATGCTTCTCGTTTCCATTAAAGAAGACGAACGTTGGCACACTGGTGATTTGATATTCCGTAGCTGCATCGTAAGCGTCGTCAATATCTACTTTTCCAAAAGCGATGTTTTCATGTTTTTCTGACAATTCCTCGTAGACAGGTTTGATGATCTTGCAAGGTGGACACCTGTTTACCGATGTACGCGCAAGATAGAATGAGAAAAGAAAACGGGTATGAAAACTCTGAGGTACGGTTAAATGTTTTGATCGGGTTCGAGTTAAAGAAGATTCACTCCATTTAGCTCATCGAATCGTAGAACGTACCATGTTGCTGTGAAATACAAAATAGACTTCTCATTGATTGCTGTGAACTTCTTAGTTGCATCAAGGTCCGAAATATTCGTCACCGACATAAATCGATGTCCTTGAATATTGGGGCGGGCAAGGTGTTGTTTTCCTGCTACCAAGCCTCTTCGGAGTGACGACGACAGAAACATTCGGGAGGCAGACACGGTAACAACTGAATAAGTGAAAAGTACAAGAAATATGCGGTAGCGTTGTAGCGTTGTCGTAGACGAAAGAGACGTGGGTTCGATAATTGTTCTTAGTTTCAGATTGACGAGGCTTTTCCCATCGAGGTCTGTACGGAACAGGTGTCTCCTACCGTGTGATTGTTTTTGTCGTCCGTAAAATAAAACAAGTGTCCCGTACGGAATGACTCGGTATGTCTGTATTTGAGTACAATTACTTGTATCAGAAACTTGTTTTTATTATAAATAATTCATCCTCCTAGCAGAGATCTGTACCCTAATTGGAAGGAACGGCCACTCATTAAGTGGATGAACCAGCAGTGTCCACAAGCTTGGGACCTTGGTAAGTCAGTTGCAGTGGATGAAATGACAATGAGGTTTGTTAAAGGCCATTATGATCGGGAGGACAAGCTACGGATCACATACTACTACTACTACTAGTAGTAGTACAAGGTACTAGTAGAAGGCAATGGATTTTGAGCTGATGCCCTCTGTGACAATGGATATTGCTACCAAGTGTACATGGGAAATGATCCTGCTCCAGTGAAGTATCTTCAGCAATGTCTGTCTCCTCTTCACTGACGAGTGATGACATTATTGTTTGACTCATTGAAGGACAAGCATTGCATCCTCATGATCATGTTGGCAGCATGGACAACTTGTATAACTCAGCAGCCAGCATTCTACAGTGATGTTTGTAACCATGAAAAGAAAGTACTTTGCCATGGTGTTTCAAGGAAGAACAGCAGAGGAATACCAGATTGTGTCTTCCAAGAAGAACAAGTTCACCCTTTTGCTCAGAGAGCAGTTCCAGGTTTATTGAAGGCATGGACTGTCCAAATATTATTGCTTTGAGTGTCTATGATACTAAACTAGTACACTATTTGAGCATGATATCTGAATCAATTGAATGGCTACTGAAGGAAAAGATGGTGTACAATGTTGACACCAACGAAGTTGAAGCTCTGCAATTCTTGAGACTCAATCAAGTTGATACTTACTACAACCATCATGGAATGGGGGATGTTGATATTGCTGATCAGCTAAGAGGTGTTTATTGAATGGATAGCAGGGTAAGGAATAGGAAATGATGGTGGTCTGTGCTCTTCTGGTCTCTAGTTGTGCTGCTAAAAAATGCATACTACATACAATGTCTATCTTAACCTGTGCAAGGAAGAAGGTGATGAACCAATGTACAAAGGAGAGCAATACCAATTTTGCAAGGCAGTAGCAAGCAGAATACTGGATTAATCCTGAGAAGATTGCAAGTGAGGTACGAGCTCATACCAGTGCTGCTGCAAGTGCTTGTAATATATCTCTGTGAAGAAAAAGGGTGTTTCAATTTGACCATCTTTCACCTGCAATGATGTCAACAGTTTTGTTATTGTCACCTGATGGAACCACAACCACACGTCAAGCGGTTGACATGTTAAATAAAAAAAAAAATCCCAATATTATTTTTAACCTCGTGAACTAGAAGAGGCACTATATGGCCAGAACCACAGCTTTTGTTAGAAAGAATGCTCCTAGCTGCTCCGAGGGGCGGCACTTCCCTCCGAGGAGTGTTAGTGGAAGTGCAACCAGGGGTTTGTTTCACTGGAATTAAAAGTATTGACTGAGCTTGGTTTGAAGTAAACTGGAAGAACTGACAGGAGGAGCCAAAGACGTCTCTGGCGCGACAGGCTGTTTGTGTCGCTTCTTTTTGGAGTAGGCGTCAAAGACCAGTGAATCTTGTGTGACACTCTCCGGAGGTTGTTTACTATGTTGCAATGATGTAAAGTACTGGGTTATTGGGCGGGTGTTGGAGACCGAAGGGGTTGACATGTTAAATAGCAAACTAGGGATCCAACTTACAGATGCAACACTTGCAGAAACTGGGGGAAGATTTGCATTTGTTTGAATAGGGGCTTGGATTATTTTCCGGAAGCTGCAGAAAGCAAAGCAAGGTGTGTGTTGCACTGGTGGGCTGGTAAGGTAAGATGTGAGGCACAAATCTTAACATGTTTGAGCTATAATGACAACTCTCTGTGTTCAGTGTTTTGCTTTCTTATTTCATAGAACACCAGACTTGGTATCCATGGAACATAGGATCAAGAATAGCTCTAAGAACAAGAAGCAAAAGAGGAGATAAAGCATTAATACTATTGATATTATTAATAACAGTAGTATTTTGTCTGTTCTGTAGTAATTTTGTGTAGCCCTATTACTAATTTCTACATGGGACGGGTATAAAATTTAGTACACCTATAGGCCTGCTCCTACTTCTGTACTCCTATTAAGGTAGAGCTACTACTACTATTATTACTAGTACTAGTACTATTACTACTATTACTAGTACTACTATTACTAGTACTACTAGTACTAGTACTACTACTACTACTACTACTACTACTACTACTACTACTACTACTACTACTACTACTACTACTACTACTACTGGGAATCAGCAAGAGCCTGAGCCTGGGCTTCAGCAAGCACCTGGTGCCCTGCTTTGATGCAATTGGCATTGCAAGTAATTGAAACGGGCTTGCTAATGCAAATGATTTCTACGGTGCAAAAACTAAGTGTGTGGAAGGGTGCCACTAATTTATTTACTATTTTGGAGTACTGAGGCCTACATGAATTCTACACAAAAAACAAGTTTCTTTTTATTTTTTCTAGAAGTCCACCAGAGCAGTGAGAATTGTTCAACATCACTGGCTCCTGTGCACAACTGAAAAGTGGTAGGCCAGTGCATCATAGTAGCCAAATTCAGTCTATGAGTTTGTAATCAATACTAAAAGCAAGCAAGAAACCAGCAGGTCCCATAAAATTCAGCTGTGATATTGATTGATATTGTTTGTGTACTACTACTACTACTACTACTACTACTACTACTACTACTACTGCTAGGCAATATGACTAGCAAGAGAATGTCAGAACACTTGTCCTTCTGCTGAATACTGCTACTACTACTAGTACAACAAATAGAAGATATTGTCAGTTGCACTGTCACAAGGGACTACAACAATGTCAGCAGAGAAGACACAAGAATATCAGGCAACACAAGCAACAAGGAGGGTAAAAAATGGCTGGTGGTATAAAAGGAAGTACTATCTGTGCAAGAACAAGAAGGAGGAACTGTCCCTATGAACAGGAACAACCAATAGGAGGAGCATCCTTCTTCATCCAAGAAGAAGTGATGGTTTTGCCCTTCCTACTACTACTAGTAGCCTTCTAGTTATTATTAGTAGTTCATGGTGTTAGATACTATAACAAAGCTTGTTATTATCTGCTGCTGCTGTTCAAGAAGCTGAAATTCCTATCTCTACCTCACGACAGCATTGTTTTGCAAAATATTGTGAAAAATTTTGCCTAACAGCACTGAGGAAAAATGAAGGGCACAATACCACAGGATTGAACATAGTGTCTGTGACCTGTTACTACCAGTACTAGTAGTGTGTAACTGTAAGAGGAGCATTTACCATGGTGTGTCTGAACAATGCCCTCTGCTATTATTGTACTACTTTAGGAGTAATATCAACCAATGTGCTCTTCATTTCCCAAACTTTCCATGTTTGTTCATAGGACCCCGCCTGTTCGCATTTCTTCCATCAGTCGAAATTGATTCCCAACGCCCGATTTTAGATTGCTAGCAAGACTATACATCGGCAAAAGTGGGAACGGGTATTCCACCTCCACGCCAATCTCGTCGATGCCAACAAATATGTACGACAAAAACGTTACAATCACCAAAATGGCAACGGGCGATTGCATGCCCGAACTTACAAGGGCAAGAGGCAAGAAACCCAAGAACAGACAAAGGACCCTCGATGTCATTCGAGTGAAAGTTGGTGGTATCGGTGACGCCACAATCTTCTTGCATATTCCAACTGAAGACTCTAATTCTCCCAATCGTTGTTCCATGACCTGAGAAGCAGCAATCGATAACCTCCCTTCGGACCCATTCGTTATTTTTGCAACAATGCTCCGCAATCGAAAGATGATGGCGGACGGGTTGTCCGATATGCCACCTACAGCATTGCTGCATGTTTCTATCCATTGCATCTCACTTGATGGCAACAATGTGCGGAGCACGAGACTGTCGTCTTCCCCCCTCAACTTCCCCTTCATGCACCATCCAAATGCGGCCAAATAACGCCCCATTAGTATTCCGAGTTCTTGATCAATGGGAGATATGTAATTGACGGTCATCCCAGCTAGGGACGTACACACCCGTATCATCTTTCCCCACACGGATCGTGCTTCGAAGAGCCTATTCAAGGATCGATTTGTTTTCAGGGCGAGCAAAATGGATATCGGTGAAGTGAAGGATGATATGGAGTGCGAAAAGGGTGCCTGTTTGACAAAGTTGTTGATGAGGTTGACTCGAACAGCGAATATGCAAGACAGAGTCCACAAGAACGACGAAATCAACGTCGGTAGCACGGAAAAGAACGTCGGCGACGAGAACCACGACCGAATGTGTCTGCTGTAGCGTTCATACGACTTGACTTGGTGCAATTTCCAATCGGCATCAGTCCACGACTTTGTGTAGGAACTGTCTCGTTTCGAATGACTCTTTGTTAATATCGGATGCGTTCCGTACATATTATCAAGGTCGGAGAGATCGGATAAGAAAGACTCAACGCTGTCGCGACGATGCATTGTTGATGCACTGCAATCGTCATTGCTGACTGCTCTGTGTATATTCTGTGAGTATTCAACGATTGTTGTCGGCAGGGACGGGAACATTGGAGATTGCGACCATAATAACGAGTCCTTGTCGAATTGAGGCAACGAGGTGGTTGATTCCACCACAAGACAGAAAAGAAGGCACAGTGGCACCATCGAAATTCTTTGGTTGCAACCCGGTGAATGAAGTGTTCCTTGCTGCTGAAATTTGGCGTCCGTTTCTCGTTTCGATAGCTAGTTGTGATCTAAAAGAGTATTAGAGATTCAGCTCCTATTGCAGATTTCTGTGACGGATTCTGCAAATGCCACTCATTGTTGAATAGTTCGAGAGAAGCCCAAGACAACAAAAAGCACCTGCTGATTAAGAGCTGAACGGTCCTCCTTCGTACTGATCGTAACGGTACGAACGGTCCCATATTTATCGGTGACACAGCATTTTGATTCCAAACATGTTACTATCCGTTATTGCTTCTATTTTCTGATAGGGCGATCGAATTTTGGCCCTTAGACTTTTCTGAAGTTCATTTGTTTTTTGACGTGGCAAGTTTGAAAGTATTGTTGGGAATGGGGAGAAACTCAAATCGAGAAAGACTTCCCCATTCGTCCTGTTTGACCAGTAGGACTATTAATGGTAAGTCCCTTAGTCGCAAGTTATTGGCAATTCCCCGCGTGTCAATTTTTTCTCATTTTCCCTTCTTTATTTCCCCTCTCCCCCTGACAATACAGTGTAGAAGCACCACAAATATCAACCGCACTGCAACTGATCTTTCGTTGACTGGATCCTCTCCAGTCGCAGAAATCTCGTCCTGAAAGGCCATGGCTCGAAAACAAGAAGAAACTGACGCCGATGTCGTCACCAACGACTACACGATGAACATGGACGAGATGATAGAAGAATTAATCAAAGTAAAAAGCTCGCTCCATCTGACACCTAAGTCTCCAGAAAAATGCCCCGTCTTTTGTTGCTTCTACGCGGAGTTTGATATCAAAACCGGACCAGTTGTGCGATACCAAAGCCCTGAAAACTTTATGGACCAAGATATCAACACCGCAACTACCGACATTCACAGTATATTGGAAAAAACGTTTGAAAGGTATAAGGAGAAACAGAAATCGAAACACCACGAGGGTGACGGGAACGGGGACGAGAATAGAAAAAAGGGAAACGAAAGAAATATTACTAATACGAGTGACGATCACAGAGCTGGTCCTGCCGATCTTTGCTCGGGAGAAATAAGTGCCAACAAGAGTGCTATTCCAAAAGATCAAAACCAGCAATCGCCATCGCGTGAGTTGTCGCCATCAAAGGGAAGCAGTACAGAAGACGGTCGAGCAGAAAAGGAGGATCGTAGGGATGATGGTACCCAGGAGGTGGCAGGAGCATCCAGTGTAGATGACAATCCACCCGAAGGTGGCCAATCGTTTTTTGATTCAACATCGGAATATATCATTACCGGGTCAGAACTCACTGGAAAAATCATCACTCTCTCCACACACGACGTGCATGTAATGACTCGTCCAACACAAATAACAAACGAACGATACGAGAGAAATGCTTTGCTCTTTTCGATCGGGATCGTCCTTCGCCGAGCGGCCGATCCACGACCCTTTCGGCCTCTAATATCAAAACTCGCCACTACCCTTCGAAGCATGGAGGTAGAGAGCTGTGTTTTGTCGGATCCAATAAAAATCAATCGCGTCTTGCAGCCTCTCTTGGAACATATATTAATTTCCATGAACAGTCCCAGATGGGAATGCAATCTACTTCTTGATCGATCCACGGCCCTCAACCTAAAGCTATTCCATCCTCCAAAACCACCTGCTTCACCGGTACACGATTATCAGGTTCCCGTTCTTCTAGTGAGAGATTTCCAATTAGGGTACTACGAATGGGATCTAGCCATCAACTGGGTTATTCTACATATTGATGGCATTACCAATGCGCGACAAATATCTGTGAAAGCAGAAGTCGACTTGGAAATGGTATTGGCTTGTCTGAGAGTACTTCGACACCATTGCATTATAGAAGTGATTGATATGTTTGTGTACACCAATCGATACGAGTGCACCGAACGAGCCGCGGCAATGCTGGCCGGAAAAGAGGGCAAGCTCCTGCAAGAAATGGTAGAATTTGTGGTGAAACGCCACCAGGCTGTTCATTTGGTTCCACCACCGATACCATCACCTCGCACAATCCCATCACTAGGCAGTGGTGTGAGAGACATGAGCGGAACGAGCGATGGTGGAAACAATACAACGAGTCCAAAGTCTGGAGGAAGCCCATACTACTTCACTAATTCTATTAGGTCGGGTGGAGCGAATCCATCGTCATTTCCACCGAGGAGCTTAAATTTGTTAGGTGGTAGCGGTAGCCAACGGAGTACTCATTTTCGGCACGCTATGATAGCTGCTAGCTCTCTTGACCGAGATCAAGTTCACTTTGTTGAAGGAGGCCGAAGAAATCCAGAAAATCACAAGTACTTGAAGTCGGCACTGGCAGAGCTATGCTGTGCGTTTAATCGAAATTTATCGTTTGGTGATCTTTGGTTATCACTCACTACCGAACTGCCTACTTCATTAGATGTGCCAAATCTAAATAAAGCGGTACCGGGGCATCGTGGATCTAGCTTGTCTTCTACCTTTCAACGTGGTGCAAATATGCGCAACGACTCTCTGACTGAATACGACATGAATGAAAATGAAGCCGTGGCATTTTCCCCAATGGAAGCGAGCTATTTGGATTCTTTGAAAAACAAACAGAATGCAGCAGACGAAAAGGGCAACAGCAACAACAATCAAAATGGCAAGGAATCGCAAGCTTCATCGTCGAGACAATCTCCCGCTAGTTGGAACGAAATTTTCAAGGAGTTTGATCACCGCAGGTTCATCACGTTTGGCGTTATCAATGGATTGCTGACCCGAGTTCACTCGTATCCATTCTTTCACGGAGCTTTCCCCGAAAAGAGAAAATATGTTCCAGCTTATGAATTAGGTTCATCGCACGTGATACCACCCGAATCTGCACGGCTTCACAGGAAGAAAGAATTGACTGAGGAGAAGAATTATCAGTTTGCGCGTGCGGTGTCGGTAATGATGGATGGCACAATGTTTGACGATGAGCTAGCATGCCTGTTTGAAAAACCTTTCAACGTTCTTGTGGACATGGTAGAAAAGCACAGTGGCGAAAAGGTAGTGCAAATATTTGCTAGGAGTGGTTAAACTGAGATATCTCAACATCACAATCAATTATCGAATTCGAGAGAACGTTGACGATAAAAGAAAAATTGGTCTGAATGAGTCTAAAAGTTGATCTAGGGCCGATTCGACATCAAGGGCTCGTTGGTCACTTAATGAAAGTACGGCGAATACGACCTTGGTTCGAGACACCATTTTCTATTCTTGTCTCAATGTATCCTGCGTAACCATCAATCTCCGCCACTAGTGGAAGTGTTCGAAGGAATAAAACCCCATTCCAATCGGCTACTACAGTCCTACCCATTGACTGTTGAGGCGACGGGATGATATACTGTTGTGATACTTTACGTCTAAGGATTTGGCATCAAAAGGGAGGCCGTCTTCACGGAACACATCAAATAGTATTCCATTTTCCTGATAAGCAATGTACAAATGCTTGCCATCAGGGCTGAAGGACAAACCAGTGGTTTCGTCACTATAAATAGGACTCTCGAGGATTGTAAAAAATCTTCCAAGGTTGTCTCGGCTGAAGCAGAAAGGAAGAGCGCTTTGTTGTGAGAAAACCCTAAATTATATCTTGATATGGAACAGGGAAATCTTGAATTGTGAACGAATTGCTTCATAATGGCCCTACTTACGCGTGTATCCCGGCGTCTTTCCCTCCCTCTTCGGTGAAATACAACAATCCACCTTCTTTTCCGAGAATGCGTTGCATTTGATCGGGGTTTCCATCAAATAGACCGGACACCGTAGAAACGTTCCTGAAGATCATTCGATCCAGGTCAAAGATAAAAAGCTGTTGGATTTTTTTGCAAACAATGTACATGATTCCATCTTGGACATCAATGCCCTCCGATTGAGGGTAAAATAATTTGGCGCTGCTCTTGGCAGCTTGGATATCGTCGGTCCATACAAATGTCCCGCCTGTCCGGTTCACGTTTGGAATTATTAGCAGATAGTCCACAACGCCCTCCTCGTGAAGCATCTTCCATTCGTCGCCTCCCCAGTGAACCACGTCGGGTGTAAATCGACGGGTGCATCCCTTGTTATGGTCTTCTGTTGAAAAAAAGCGTGGCCTGAGTTTGTCTCTCACATCGTATGCAAAGGATTCCCATCGACCGCCGTCGCTACCGAGTGTCATAACTTCGGCCGGACGCTGGCCCGTCGGATCCACCTGATATATTTTCCCAGTGAATTCGATTTCTTCGCAGCTCACCCATGTATTCCACGGGGTTCGACCACCACCACAATTCATGTAGGTGTCTTCGAGGACCATTCTATAGTCAATCACTTTGCCATTCCTAGTGAAGGTAATCGCTCCTACCCCGCCCTCGGTCTCGTTTTTAGCTTCCGAGTTGCTTACGTAGATCCATCCTCCAGGGTTCCACCATCGTGTATCGGGGAAAGTCGCCCCGGCATCCGGAAGAACGTGAAAGCCAATCTCGGAAGTTGTTCCACCACTGTAGTTCACTGGATCCCCCGATTGAGCAATTACGCGTGAGAGTAACCCCTCGGACAGCAAAAGATTGTTTTCCATTCTGGTCAACTTCCCTGGGACGTAAGTGATTTGTGTTGGCGACATTGTGGGTGGATTGGTCGGAGGCGTTGTCGGTGGCACGATTGGTGCCTTGGTGGATACCGGCGGCATCGTTGGAGGAGTGGTTGGCGCTTTGGTTGGCGTTGGCGTGGTTGGTGTTGTAGTTGGAGGAGAGGTTGGCATTGTGGTTGGCGTCGCAGTCGGTGCCGTGGTCGTCATCGCAGTCGGTGCAGCTATTGGTGATCCAGTGGGATACTCGGTAGGCGATCCTGTTTCAGTCAACGAGTTCGATACCGTGCGATCGCCTTCCGACACCGTCTTGTCATTCCTCAGGCCCGAGGGCTTCATTTCGTCGACGCGCAGTTGCGATGCTGTTTTTTGTTTCCMGATAGCCCATCCCACCCCAAAACCACCTCCGAGAATACACAAGCTAAATAGAAGCCAGGCCAGTATCGAAATCCGTTTCCCGTATGATGCATCCCACAGGGAATCCCAGAGGGAGGCCTTTGTGGCCCGAGATGCCGCGGGCAAACACTCGTTCTTGTTCGTCAAAGCATTCGATAGGGGCGATACCGTACAATCGAATGACGAGCTTGGACAACTTCGTTTTGCGGTGGGATCCACACCATCGGGCGTTTCGTCTGGTTCGGTGCCGTTCGTGTTCGCCATGGCAATGAGATCGCAAGAGGAGGTAGGTATTTTTGAATCTACGGTCTGTTGATCTGTGACCTACGGCGCGACTGCGAGATATCTATGTTTTGTTTCTCACCCAACCGGAACCGGAACCTTTGTAACTTCCTAAAGAATTCTTTTGAAATGCGTGTGGTTAATGGTTAGATCCATTCATCGTGGTTGAATTGTATCACGGTGCCGCGCTTTCGTGAAATCGAAAATAGGTCAAGACCTCGGATGTATCGGAACATAGTCCTACAGTTGCGTACATACTATGTAGTAGGCACCAAAAGGGATAGGAGTGGTTGTTGTCCACGCGGGAATTTCGGTTTGATAGAAACATGATTCACCGAGCACGAGCGCTTTGTTTCCAAAAATTTAAATAAAAATGAACAACATAAATCAAACATGCCATATTTGTCGACTCTCTCTGTTAAAAACAAAAACCGAAGGAGGTATTTGGTAGTCTTCGTAACGTATTTAGCTTCTTCACACTATGATCAATAATCCCTTTTGCGCGCGTACCGAGGCAACGCAATTCAAAAACGAAAAACTAAATTCACTCCGTTCAGGAATGCCAGTCCTCACACTGTGAAATACAGTACGAGTTTAGTGTAACTTAAGTAAAATTACACCTAGAATTAACGCAGGAATTTTCGCCCACTACTACTGTAACTTCTGCATACTAGTTCTAAGCCGCCAGAGCATCCTTAAGCATCCCAATGACCTGGATCACTAAGTAATTGTATTATCTTGGTCTGGGCGCTTACTAGTCTGGTGCTCTAAAGTTGTTTTTTGATAGAGTTCTGGCCTATTTTCTAACTAGCAGGCGCTCTTGCTGTAAACCGGCCAATTTTGGCCATACCGGGTGTTAGTGGAGAATCGCCCCCCCCCCCCCTGGCCCCTAATTGTGTAACAATGACACATGGGGCTATTCCCAACACTATAAGGAAGTACTTCCCCAAAGAACAGCTGCTCTCAGGCAATACCGGAGCAGTTCTAAATGTCCTATTACACTGTTTGTGGTCAGAAAGTGACCAAAAACTGGTAGATCTATGTAGGATCAGTACTAAAATATGGTGCCCAAAATTAACCGTGATGCTACTAGTAATAATTTTTGGTGTTTGAATAAAATGCCTTTCTGCCCTGTAGGACGTGGTAGGGTTCATACGGTTAACGCATTTTACTCCGATTAAACTCGTACTGCACAGTACAGTGCATCATTACTTCTATTTCGAATAGGTTTGAGGGTGAATGAACATCGCTTTCTGTTGTCTTTCAATGATGTGTTCGAGAAGCAGCATGTGAACGAAATTGTCGTTGAGAATTCCATGGCAATTTGGAGATACGACCTCAAGGAAGTTATGAAATAACAGCGTGTTTACCACCAGTTACCTTAAGCTACTGGACCCATGACTACTGTGACTTGGTCAAGAATATTTATGCTGATACCCTACTTCAACATAGTGGGGCATGTCCACTATTTTATGTCTAGTATTGTACCTCCGCTTGACAAAAGAATAAGGAGTGGCATTTTTGACTCATTGGTGGGAACCACATATGTAACCCCTTTCAACATTTATGGATCGAATCCTTAGTACTATAACAACAAGAGGAAGAATATAATAATGGTATTCATTAATAAATTTAAGATAAAACTGGTCTTATTTGGAGCAATAATTTATTGGTGAAGGCTTATATGATGTAACATGTATAAACAAAAAAGCACATGCCATAAAAAAATGCATGTAATTTCATGGTATGTGCGCATGCCATCCTTCTATCAGTTGAGTGGAATAACGGCCGGCATATATTTAAGGATTATTTTCTACTAGGAAACTCATTGTGGGACAGAGGAAGTAGTAGTCAATTTCTAGTAGCCAAAAAATTAAATTTAAATAAATAGCAGTTTCCTGGTGGACCCCCACCAATTCATAGGCAAGGAACATATACTATCATACACCTTTGTAGATGGTAGTATGTGCCCCTATGCCCAACACTAGTGGTCAACATGGTTAAACTATTAGTCAGAGATCTGGTAGCTTACTAATGGTATACTTGGAAATTTGCTGTTTCCTACTAACATCCAAGCAGAAATAATGGCTACTTTTTACTGTACTTGAAAGGAGCTTTTAAGCTACTTTATTCCTACCTAAGATTGACTAGAAGAAGGCTACTATTATGGTGAAGAATGAGATAGTACCTGTTCCTTMCCCTGCCAATATGTATCAATATGGTAGGGCATGTACACAAGAAGTATGTACATACTAGTTGGAGAAGAAGTGGGTCCAGTAGCTTACAGTAGCTGGTAATGCATCATTTTGTAATGTCCTAGAGAAGAACTTCTCTCGAACCAAAATTTTGAGTACCTAGTACTACTACTGTAGTACTACTAGTACTATTGGCACTAGTACTAGTAGTACTAGGTCAAGCTAGTAATACTAGTGCTGGTGTACTAGTAATCATGGTGGAAGACAAGGAGGAGGACTCATCTTAGATAAATGATGATCCATAATCCCAAACTGCAGATGCCTCAACCTCCTGCTCAACCAACACCAATTCTACTAGTAGCAGATAGTAGTAACAGTGGTGATTTTTGTAATATATTTCATATAAAACAAGAACAGTCTACTGCTAAAACTAGAAGACCACAAAAATAAGAAGAACATGTGGTAGTAGAAATGAAACACTTCCTTTTAATCTTCCAGCAGTGGTGGACTAATGGTGGTGATGACAACAAGAAGTTTCATGACATTACTATAAAAACAAAGTTGGACAAGAATTACAGGAGGGGGTCACTGAGTAAACACCAAGAATCAAACTGGCAAAACTGATTTCTATAATCATCATACCAACATCTACAAAAAATTCCTGGGTGATACTGGTGGGTGTAGTGCCTTTTCAGAAAGAGGAGTTGCCAGCCCTTAGAGTACCTATTCCGAGCACTGTTCTCATCCTTAAAAGTGATGCTTCTGGCCTTGTTCCTCCTTGTGGTATCTCTTCTAGTAATGAGGAGATGGTGAAACATATATTAATTTCTTTTCAAAATCTTCATGGAATTCATTTGACCAGAATCATATTATTTGTCAACAGAACTACTAGTAGTAATAAGCACACCTGTCCTTGTTGTGCTGCTGGATGGCATCAACCCCCTATTCACACCCATGATTCACTGTACATTTTGTGTTGTGTGGGGTGAGGTAAAGACAACACTGTTCCTATTCTTGTAAACCATGATGTATTAGCATACACTACTACAGAACCTATCAGTATTTCACATGTCTCCTGCTGGTGAGGAGTATACCTTATACTGGATCTTGCAGTGCACTGCTAGAACTACTATCACTACTACTAGTATCACTACTACTATCACTACTACTAYCACTACTACTAGCACTACTACTAGCACTACTACTAGCACTACTACTAGCACTACTACTAGCACTACTATCACTACTACTAGCACTACTACTATCACTACTACT